GAATGGGCTCCCAAAGTCCATTTGTACACTAGGGATAAATATTGTTCCACTACCAGAGGCCCCATAGACTGTCCAGGCCTCCTAACTGACACCCACGTTCAGGGGGCCTCCTTTGGTCCTATGTTGGTTCCTTAGCTGTCAGACTGGGGTCCACGAATTCCCACTTGCTCAAGTCAGCTGTTTCAATGGGTTTCCCCAGCATGGTCTTGAATCCTTTGCTCATCACTCCTCCCTCTCTACTACTGGATTCCGGGAGTTTGTCTCAGTGCTTAGCTGTCGGTGCCTGCTTCTGCTTCCATCAGCTACTGGATGAAGGCGCTAGCATGACAGTTAAGGTAGTCATCATTCTCATTATAGGGGAAGGGCATTTAGGGTAGCCTCTCCACTATTGATTAGATTCCTAGTTGGGGTCATCCTTATGGATCTCTGTACAATTCCCCAGTGCCAGATTTCTCTTTAAACCTATAGTGGCTCCCTCTATTGATGTGTCTCTTTTCTTGCTCTCCTCTATTCATCCCCAGACTCAATCTTCCAGATACCTCATGTTCTCTTCTCCCCTCCTCTTTATCCTATTTCCCTCCCTCTTTCCCCCATGCTCCCAATTTGTTCAGAAGCTCTTGTCCCTTTCCCTTTCACCAGGGGACCCTGTATGTCTCTCTTTCGGTCCTCCTTGTTTCCTAGCTTCTCTGGAGGTGTGGATTATAAGCTGGTAATCCTTTGCTCTATGTCTAATATCCATATATGAGTGAGTACATACCATGTTTGTCTTTCTGTGACTGGGTTACCTCACTTAGGATGGTTTCTTCTAGTTCCATCCATTTAAAGGCCTGGGTTTTATTTCTGGCTGTCCACATCACATTGGTGCCATCCTGAGTATTGTTTGTCCATATTCAAAATGGTTATAGAAATACTCATCTTACAAAGTTGTTGGGAATATTTATGTATTTATTTTTTGTATATGGGCGTTGTATCTGTATGTATGTCTGCATACATACAGTATTTATCCCTAGTGTACAAATGGACTTTGGGAGCCCATTCCCCATAGAGGGATACTCTCTGAGCCTCGACACATGGGGGAGGGCCTAGGCCCTACCCCAAATGATGTGACAGACTTTGATGATCCCCCATGGAAGGCCCCACCCTGCCTGGGGAGCAGAAAGGGGATGGGATGGGGGATCCGTGGGGGGAATGGGAGGGTACAAGGGAGAGGGAACTGGGATTGATATGTAAAATAAGGTTGTTTCTAATTTAAATAAAACTTATAAAAACTTACAAAAACTTATAAAAAAGAGGGCATCAGATCCCATGGGATTACAGTTACAGATGATTGTGAGCTGCAATGTGGGTGGCTGGGAATTGAACTCAGGACCTCTGAAAGAGCAGGCACTTCTCTTAACTGCTGAGACATCTCTCCAGCCTTGTTGGGAATATTAGATATATTCATGCACATAATTACATTTGTGCCTAAGAATATGTTTGAAGTTCTCGAATGAAGTCATAATTGTCATTATTATGAATCATAGTGAATTCGAAGGCCATTATTGAATTCCTACTACATGAGGATGAATAAAATGCAGCCCTTATTTCAAAGGAATTCATGGTATTGTGGCAGAAAAATAAATTTAGCTTTAATTTATAACTAATAAGAAAGAGAACTCTGAAAACTGCTGAGAAGAGAGGCCCAAAGTCACAGACTGCTTCACAAATAATTCACACAGCACAAGACATTAAAACTAGAGCATCATTTTCTCCTGATAGTCCGAGATAGTGTACAACGAAGCCCTGCAGTGTCATATAAAGTAATTGCATAGTCTAAGTGTCACCACCAAGGCTTTCAGTTTTACACCAAAATGACAGCAACAGTCTGGACTAGAGGAAGGAAATGAAAAACGATGAGAAAGGCAAGCTGTGATAAGTCTGACTTCAATGCTCTGTTTTTTTTTTTTTTTTCTTTCTCTCATGCGGATTATTATTTCCATTGTCTCACAGTTTTGGGATAAGGAGTAAAAGTCTGCTAATATGTATCAAGTTCCAAAATAGTGCCTGGGTTGTAGTTAGAACTTAACAAGTGTTGGGTAGTAGTATGTCAGGTGAGGTGGGCAAATGACAACCGTGAGATAAGAATCAATTTACAGCACTGTCTTAAGTATTTGGATCTTAGGCACATCACTCCCTCAACCCCACCCCAGTCTTCTCTCTGTTTAATGAAAGTCCTTTGTTAGTTTTCTGTTGCTCTGACAGGAACATCTGAGATAATCAACATTAAAGAGGAAGCCTTAATTTTAGTGGGTGGGCTCATGGGTTTCAGTCCACTGTTGCTCAGCTCTGTTGCTTTGGGCCTCAAGTGGTGCAGTGGCTCATGAGATAGCACACAGAGGGTGTTGATCATCCCAGGGCTGCCAGGAGGCAAAGAAAGAGAAAGGAGAACCCTGATTCTCAGTGGCTTCCTCAAGGGCATCCCTCAATGACCTAACTTCTTCCCACAATGCACCACCTCCCCTAAAGCTTATACCACTGTAGGCCGGTGACCAAATTTTTAACACATGGACCTCTTTTCCTCATTACACATTGAATTAGGCTTTATAGGATTCTTCCTGAAGTATCATGAGAACAGCCTGAAGATCTCTTGGTCTTTATTTCCAGATGAAGGGAAGTAGAGAGCCAAGTCCTCACAGAGCAGGCTGTAGCTGAAACACCCACCAGAGTTACAGCCTCAGGGAACCAGGGTCTCAGTCTAGTCACAGGGGACAGGCTTCCAGATATTTGATCCCTCCCTCCCTGAGCCCATTCCCTCTCCCTGAGTCTGTTTCTCCTTCCTGAGTCTTTTTCCTTCCTGAGCCCGTTCCCTCTTCCTGAGGCAGCACGCTTCCTGTTCCATCACTGAAGAGAAGAATTTTGTCTTTATAAGGTCTGGAAGATTAGACCCCCTAGTGTTTCCCCCCTTTGGCCTGTTCTCCTCTCTGACCACAGACTCTGTGGCTTCATTAAAGAGAGTAAAAGCAAAGTGTTACATTCCTCCAAGTACGCCATGACATAGCTATTCTGTGCTTTCTTCTCTTGACATTAGTACCCAAGGAGAGCAAGAATGTAAACATCTGTTTTATATAAGCTCATTCCAGACTTATAACTTGATTAGTATAGAGCATATTTGATGTGATTAATTTTCCGGTTACAACACACACACACGATGACTTTCTGTCCTTTTATTACCTTCTTAAGAGAGACAAAATGACAAGGCTAACTTCAAGTTCTCTGTGTGTATGTGTAACTGCAGTGCCAATTATAATCACTATGGCAATACAAAAGTCTTCTATACTTGATTCAATGGTAATTGCAAGTTACCCTGTAGAAATCTGCTACAGTAAACATAAAGTAATCCTGGGCCTCCTTCCACAGAGAAGCAGACATTTTGGGAAGGATCAATTAAGATGACATAAGTGCAAAGCCTATAGAACCATTCACAGTTCTAATTAAGTCAGTGTATGCCCTAGCTAGGCTTTATCAAGCCCAGTATGACTGATGATTCCAATTAGATAAGCACATAAAGTACTTAACCACCAAGCAGCCTTGTCTGCTTCAGGGCATACAGAAGAAGTCCAAGGGTAAACACAGAATGGGGAGAGGTCTTTATACTGTGTCCTGTAAATGTGCTAGACTCATTAGGAAGAAGATGCTTTCTCATATACTTTATTCCCCCTCTCCCTCAAATAGAACATAACTAATGAGAACACAGGCAAGTACTTTTGAGACTTAATTTGGTGATCGTTAGCAAGAAACTAGCAATGTCCAATCATCTGCTGCATGTTCTGGCAAAATCTGCTATGGTGTCTGCAGCCCATCTCCATTCCCAGTCCTGCCTCTGGGAACTCTCAGGGAGTCCAAGGTAGATCTACGACAGATAAGCTGAGCCATCCTTTTGATTTTTCCACTTGTCTTGGTGGTTTCTGCATTAAGAGTTTTCAAGGCTGTTTGTAGAGTCTTTATTTAAGAGCTCCATTTGCAGCTATTGTCGCTAAAAGCTGCAAACATTTTTGATATTGTTGTCATAGCCACTCCTTGTATTATATATGACTTATTAGCTCATGTCCTAAGATACAGCCAGAGGGCAGTACTGGAGAGAACTGAAGAGCTTGCGATGTCCAGCTCGGCCATTCTTAATTTCCTGAGATGAAGAATGCTATTAATACTGTGGATGCAACTTATTATCTTTTTTTTCTAACTCATGCCTCTCATTCCATCTTTCAAAATTTGAGTGATTTTCTCAAGTCTGACTAAATATTTGTTCTTTAGCTGATGGTCCTTCAGTATCCTAATGTACTTTTAAGATGTAACCCAACCCTTCACAGCTGATGAGGTATGCTGGGATTCCTGTTGTTACTATTTCACATTCCAAGCAAATCTGCAGTCCTAGGAAAGGTCATGATCTTACTCCCTGACCCACATCCCTAACTAATGTTGGCAATTTCTTCATTTACTCCACATGCCATCCTTTTGGGTGGTTGTCTGACCTGCTTTTCCTAAGACAGGTGCCTGCTTTACATGGTTTCTTAGAATGCTGGATTTTTATCTCCCAAAGAATCCTCTGCTTTTCTCTTCTTTTTAAAAATTTTTTTTGAGCAAAGCCTTTTTAGTGAATATATTTTACAAATACACTGGAGAATCACGAAATGCTGCCTGCATTGGATGCAATCGTGGGTCACAAGTTTGCCCATACCTTTGCAACTGGACCTGTGATAACAGAACCTTTCATCTCACTATGACCCCTGCATTGTCTTCAAAATAAAGAAACACCCCATCTTTTCTTCCATATGACTTTTGTTGTCCAATTACCACTGTTGGATGGACCTTTTTCCTTAGTTCTGGTTTGTCTTTCTTAACTGTGGCCATTACAATGTCACCCACACCAGCGGCAGGAAGTCTGTTCAGTTGTCCCTTGATGCCCTTCACAGAGATGAAATACAATTTTTGGTGCTGAACATTTAAGCAGTCTTTCACAAGTATCTTGCCACAATACCGATTGAAGCAAACAACGCTTGTTGCCACTTGACCCAAAAGAGGTGTTTTCACTCTGCCCCTTCTTGACGACTCAGTAGGTCACTAGCAAGAGGCCCCACTGAGTGGCTTTTCTCCTCTATACTAGACTGTTAAGCTCATTGGGAACAGGGAATGGAAACTCTTTGTCCAGTACTTTGCATGAGTTGTGCAAAAATAACAAGCACTCACAATTTTTGCTTTTATTCTTTCTTCCTTTTTTCTTTCTTTCTTTCTGACACACAGGACTCCCACTAGGTAGCTCAGGATGACACTGAATTTATTATGTAGCCCAAATTGGCTTCTAACTTATTGCAGTAATCCTACCTCAACCTCCTGAGTATGAACCACCATGTTTGGCTTTCAGTACATTTCTTGAGAAATGAACAAGTAAATCACCAAATAGAGCTTAGTGGTCATAGGTTGCAGAACTGGGTTCAAGCAGTTTTCTATACTGTTGAATAAGATATAATACTGGACAATATTCAAGAATTCTTTGGGTTAGGTCAGCTTATTGGCCACCTCTTACTCATTCCTTTTATATTCTTGGCTTCATCTGACTAAGGGTTCTACCAAGGGTCTGATCAAGTTCACACAGGTATACCTTGATAGTTTCTTGCCTCAGCCAATAGGCTTGTTGTATTGTTCTGGGTTTGTCTGTTGATGTCTTGGTGCAGGATGCCATACAAACAAGGTCAACACCTCTGTATGTGAGACCCCCAAAGCATTCATGAACTTTGACCATTGAAGATGGGTCCCAGTGGATAGGTATGGATAGATACTTCCTCTTTTTACACCCCCTGTTCTCTGTTCTCTTTTAAGGATGGGTTTTAGATACTTGATAGTCTTGTGGAATTGAATAGTAGCCCATAGCAACAGCTGGCTTCATAGAACTCTCATAGGCTGTACCTCTTCCTTGCCATGGCCCTCCATTCCTTTTACCTATGGCAACCTGTACCTCCTTTATATTCTAGGGATCTTTGGATAAGACTCTTAGAGAGTTATAGCTAGAATGTATGTTTTTCTGATAAATACTCTGATCTGAACTTTATTTTTTTGGCCTACCCCTTCCTATCTTCAACTTGGGATGTCAAGGATTTTTCTACATGAAGTAATATGTAATATGCTTGAAGGGAACCTGTAATCAATTAAAGATACAGATTAGAAACCCTAAAGCAACAACTAACAAAGGCAATAACCTAGCAATGGAGACATAATAAAAGTCATCAGTCAATTCAAAATAAGGTGGGAAACTAGGAAGAAACAAAGAAAGATAGATACTAAATAGAAAGGTGATCGTTTTAAGTACAACCATACCCTCCATCACACTGAATGTAAATGGACTAACTATACTTATGAAAAGGCAGAGATTGTTGGGTTGGGATTTTAAAAAGACTCAATTGTATGATGAGTACAAGAAATATATTTCACATATAATGACAAAAATAGATTAAAAATGAAAGGATAAAAGCACACACTATGCCAACACTAGTTAAAGGAAAGTTGGAGTGCTGGTATTAATATTAGACAATGTATATTTCAGATCAAACAATAGTACCATTGAAAATGAAACTTGCTTCATAATGCTAACGATGTTTATCAATCGAAAGGACATAGTAACAACTGCATTTAGTTACAAAGCTTCAAAATGCACAAAGCAAATCCTCACAGAACTCCAAGAAGACTGACAAATTCAGAGTGCTATATTTCAATGCTATTCTCGATAACTGATCACAAGTGGACAGAAATCAGCAAGGGCATAGAAAACTTGAACATCATTAAAGAAATTGGTTTTGCACTTGTTGAGCAATTTGCCCAACAGCACCATTTTTTTTCAAGTGTATCTGGAACATTTATAGATCATTTAGTCCTGATGAGGCAAGTGCCACCATTTCCATTTACAAAGTGAATAAAAGAAGGCAGGGAAAGAGTAGGTAGCTTGCTAAAGGTCACAGCTAGTAGTAAGCATCAAATAGGACTTAGCACCTGGGTTGTCTGTCCAATACAGTACTCTTCCCACCTCCCTGAGCACCTGGAATAGCTCAGGTCTCTATGACCTAGAATGAAATCCTTTTAAAGTAAACAATGGAATGGACTACTCAAATAGCATTCAACATTCTCCAAATACTCCTTGGAAAGGAAACACATTCTCCCCCTCTCCTCATATTCCCACCCAGCCCAAATGGCCCGTGTGCTTCCTTTAAGTGACATGACTTATAGGTATCATAAACTCAAGTTCCACAGCTGGTGGGTCTGAAAGAGAAGACAGTTACAGAGTATAAAGGGCTGGTGGGAGCTGGCTCGTCCTCAAGCTGCCCTGCTGTTAGAGGGTGGTCTCATACACACTCAATCCCAGTACAAAGCTGCTTGTGTGCTCTTTGTATGCTTGCATGCAGACACTGACCCTCTTTCCAGGAAAAGAAACGTATTTATTAAAGGGAAAGAAAGAATGATTAGCGCACGACTTTCTTTGCTTACCTTCTTAAATCTGTTAATACGGCTATAATGTATATAATGATTACGACTTGGAAGGACATAGTGATGTTTTCCAAGGTAAAGTCTCCTTAAGTATTGGCAAGAAAATACCATCGAGGGGAACAACATTTTAGCGGATCTTTGGCTGAGACTTGATACATAGTTGTACAAGAGGATACGTGAAATGGGGATATTATTCTGCATCACTGTGCTTTGCAGACAGCTCAGCAAAGTGAATTTGATAATAACAACTCCGCTAGGTTTCTATATGAATTCAGTCTCTCTCTCTCTCTCTCTCTCTCTCTCTCTCTCTCTCTCTCCACTCTCTCTATTGGACGTCGATGTTTTATTGATACCCAGCTCCTTTCTCTAGTCCCTCAGCATAGCTAGTGACTTCTTGCTGTCTCTCATTTTCCTCCCACCTCCTAGCGTTTCCCTTTGCCTCCACAGCACTTCCCTCCCAGCCTTCCTCTCAGCTAAACACTCCCCAAGGGAGATCAAAGAACCATCCCGTGGCCACAGCCCAGAGGACAGAAATTTTCCAGCTCCCTCTTCTGGCTGGGCTGAATGGTGGGTTGAGGGACAGGAAGCTGGGCTGGGGCGCCTCAGCTTCTGGGGGTTGTGTGGGGTGGGGAATTATGAGAGAACTGTCTGAAGCAGCATTGCACACTTCAGAAAAAAAAAAGTGCACCAATTCCCTTTGTGCTGGCTAATGAGATGCCCCCGAATTTGGGACTGGGCCACATATTCTTGAAAACCATTGTTTAAACCTTGAGATTTTGGAGGTTGGGGATAGCTCTGAAGGGAACACAGGAGCTGACACTGCGAGCGCTTCCAGGCTGTTGGAGTGACTTGGAACTCTCGGAGGAGAAAGTCTCCTCCAGGGG